AAGAGAACAGGATTTGGCGCCCAGGGGAGGGGGAGAGGCTGCAATCCCATCAGGGATGTATTTGCGACCAACGCAAGCCTTGATCGGGGCTAATCCACTGTCATGCTGCCGGGTACAATCCTGCCACCTGCCCTAGGGATCAGGCCGCCCCCACCCCCCTCTCTGCCCACTCCACCTGCCCGAGCTGGCCGGTCACGGGCCTGCGCGGCAGGGAGCAGGCGGGATGCCGGGGTAGATGGGCCTGTGATGCTGCATCGGCCTGGCCTCTGTCCACGGGCGGGGGAGCCCAGGCAGGATCAGTGTGCTTGGCATGAGCGGGAACAGGCTGTGACGCTGGCTGAGGGTTGGTGCCCAGAGGACGGGGCTGGGCCGGTCCCCCAGTCGGCAGAACAAGCAGGAACCACAGTTTGGGCTAGGGAGAGACTTTCTGGCTTTGTGGGCACCAGCCAGGAGCCCGGGGGGTGTGGGGGGAGTCCCCTGGCTCCGTTCACTGTGGGTTGGGAATGGCCAAGCATCCCCTTAGGGCACCACAGCAAGGCTCCTCAGGGCACTGCTAGGAAGGAAGCTCGCAGCATGCCTTCTTCCCCCTCCTTTCTGGGCTGAAATCCCTACAAGACATTGCTATAGGAGAGTTCACATTGTTTGCTCCCTCCCCTGCTCCCGGCACTGCTGTGGGGAAGTTCACCCCTCCCTCAGGGCACTACTGTGGGGAAGCTCGCAGCACCCCCTCAGGGCACTACTGTGGGGAAACTCACAGCACCCCCTCAGGGCACTGCTGTGAGGAAGCTCGTAGCACCCCCTCAGGGCACTGCTGTAGGGAAGCTCGCGGCACCCCCTCAGGGCACTACTGTGGGGAAGCTCACAGCACCCCCTCAGGGCACTGCTGTAGGGAAGCTCGCAGCACCCCCTCAGGGCACTGTTGTGAGGAAGCTCGCAGCCCCCCCCTTGCTCCGCACTCACCGAGATGATCTCCAGCACCTCGCTCTTGCTGATCTCGCCGTTGCGGTCCACGTCGAAGAGGGAGAAGGCCCACTCCAGCTTGAGGTCGGTCTTGCCGGAGGAGGTGAGGTGCAGGGCGATGATGTACTCCCGGAAGTCCAGCGTCCCATCGTTGTTGGTGTCGAAGCTGCGGAAGACGTGGCGGGCGTAGCCCTTGGGGTCGGAGTTGGGGAAGAAGTTGGCGTAGATCTTCTCGAACTCGGCCTGGCTGATGCGCCCGTCCGGGCACTGCTTCTGGAAGCTCTCGTACCACTTGCACAGCTCGTCCTCCGTGTACTTGGTGTTCAGCTTCAGGTCCTCCAGGATCTCCTTGGACAGGGCCCCGCTCTTACTGTTCCCCATGGCGCCCCGATGCTGC